TTTTTAAAAAATAAATCATTGAGGTTAGATTAAAAAATTTATTTATTTATTATTTATTATTCTTTCAAAAATAAAATTTTAATTAACAAAATAAAAAATAAATCCTTTCTATGATTGAGCTGCAAATGCTTTGGTTATTGTGAATTTATCGGGCAGAATGTTTTAGGTTTTAGTGCTTACCATGTGGATCAGTAGGTCCCGGGAGACATCTTTACTCTGTCACACCACTGCTACCTTTTATGCATTGAAATGTGACACATAGCTTTCCGCTTAAATTGCTTTTCTTTTTCTTTTTTTTTGTTGTTTAAATAGGCAATGGATTGGCTTAACTTGATTAAAAATTAAAAAATATGACTACGTGTATGATTCCATTTGGCAAGCTTATCCTTGCCGTTCATATTTACTCCTGATCAGTGAGTCTCGGATATTAGACATTTTATACTTATCTGTTTGAGATCCATGTTAAATTACCTTACAGCACTAGAATTTATCAAGCCCTTTTTCTCACGTATCGAAATCATTTAATAAAAAAAGCCTTAAAAATAACCATCCAGTCTGGAGGAGAGGATATAAAAAGTAACAAACTGACTCGAACCACAATGATTCGCTATCAAACCTTAGTGTTTGGATGAGGTGGTGGTTGGAACTTTGAGCTCCACTATCATCATGAACTTCATCAAAATACGACTTGATGATCGCACACTTCATTTAAGGGGATGAAATATTCACTTAATCTGAAGATCAAGTTACTAGCAATTAATTTATTAATTTTTTAACTATTATCTTTATCTTTTTTTTTTTTTTGACCAGGTAGATAGTTAGGAAGTTAATAGAGTTAGTTAGTTAGCAGCTGAAATTTTTTCAGGTAAGTGAACGTTCCACCCCCTCATTTAAGGCGTGCAACCATTAGGTCACAAGTTGATGGAGTTCACGACGGCAGAACTCGAAACCCTGACCTCCGCCTCACCCAAACCCTAAAGCTTGGGGGCCAACCAATTGAACCACAGACCCGGTCGGCAGCTATTATCTTTATCAAAAAAAAAAAAAAAACCAACCATACCGCTGAACTGGAGGCTACAACTGAATTAAGTGGTCTTTGGTGTCATCGGTCAAAGACCATTGATCCACTGGTCCTCTGCTAGCTGAATCATTTAATTAAAATTCGACGCTGACTCGTGTCATCTCTTTCAGTATCAAAACTCATTTCATTGGGTCCAATGAACTGTAGATTTTTGTCATCAGATTGGTTGATCGAAGAATTTTAATTCAAAACTTCAAACACACCAAAATGCCGAGTGGGACGATGTGCACGTGCCTCATCACGTCTAAGTGTCAAGACATTGGGAGGTGTGAAGGGTGTTTGTCTAGATTTAAAAAGCATTTGTTTTATTTTATCCAAAAAAATTTTGTTTTAAAGGATAACTCTTCTAAAAATATAAAATTTTCTTAGAGAAATTTAAAAATTAATTGAATT